GAAATATATTCGTTGGACGTTCATCAACTTCAAATTGTCGTTCTCGTTGATTATATTCAATATATATAGGTGAGCGAATTGGAAAAAAAATCCAAAGGGGTTTAGAATATAACCATCAACACGAGGGATAAATCCCGAAACAATATGAAGAGAAGAGAACAGTTAAAATATACAACAAGTTCAATAAAGAGAAGAACGAGAAGATACATATATGAACATCGTATGTGTAATCTTTATGATATAATTACTAGATGAGAAAATAGAAAATAATAATGAATCACACTATATAACTTGTGAAGGTGGTTTTCTGTGTAATTTCTTCACTGACACCACTGTAGTCACGATAAGCAGTTGGTTGATTACTATTTACTACGTTTTTCTTTTCGGTTAGGAACTGAGAATTTTTTTTATTAATGTTGAATATATACACCTGCAATTGCTTATCAGATGATTTTTTATGCAGAAGAAGCTAATCTTAAGACATACATTCTATTCGTTAAGATCAATAACGAATAATATGATTTGTTTTTGTGACAGTGCAGGTACAAACGTGTACTTTTAGTATATTTTGACTGATAGTAGTAGACGTCTCTCTTTGTCTTCAAATATTTGTATTTTTGTCTATCGATATTTTTTTACTGTCATGATCAATAATAGAAGAAGATAATTATAAATAACCTTTTATAGTATCTATTGATTCTCTTCTCGATAGCGTCAAATATATTTTGTCTGAGCTGATATGTTATTTTATTCAAAAAAATTTCTCTTGAATAGAAGTTGAATAAATTAGCATTAAGAAAAGGTTGAGGTTTCAAAAGTGAAAAGCTCAACTACTATGAGAACTAGTGGCTGTAGCAGAGTTACTAATTTGAGTTTGTTTAAAGATCAGTATTCTATCGTTGCATTTTTTTCTTTCGTAGTTTCTAATTTTCGAGTTAGTTGATTTCATTTAACTGTATTTGTGAAGTAAGTAAATTGCTTTTGGCCTTTTCAATATTAGGATGATTTTCTGGTAACGATTTTCAATAAATATTTAATGATTTTTTAAAAAATGATTAATGGCCTCTTTATGTTTCTTCATACACTGATAAGTTATACCAATATTTGCATGAGTAATACCGATATTTTCATGATCAGAATCTAATTCTCGTAGCCTTAATTCTAACAGAGCATCATCCCATCTCTTGCAAGAACCCATAATATGTTCAATCATCCCATATATGCGAGTACACTTCATAATATTATTGTTCAAACTAAAATTTTGAAGTTGCTTCTATTTTATTTTTTTTCGTCATCAAATTTATGCCATAATTTAAATTCTTTTTCAAAGTATATATATGCTTTATCAATATGATTTTCTTCTGCTGCAACAGTTCCTAGTCCACGATAACAATGGACTTTCTCGAGATCTGTTAGATATTTGTCATCGGAAATTTTTCGGAAACATCTTCTTGCTTTATCATAATAATCCAACTGATAAAGTAAAAAGCCAGACGAAACTCTATCATAGACGATTTCATTTGCATATTGTTCCATCAAGGCATATAAATCTAAGTTTTCGTCGTTGCAGAAGGTTAATTCCGGTCGCCAAATATGATCAATATCATCAAACTGAACGTTATTAATACGAAAAATGGAACCAGGCGCAAGTAGAACTTCGTCTTCAGCTTCAAAATTACTAAGATGACTAATTTTAGCAAATGGTTTTGTGTTTGTTAATCATGTATCAATGTTGAATTCAAATACAATACGCACTCGTTCGACTGTTGGCTGCGCACTTGATTCAGAAAAAAATTGGCCAATTGCTGGTGTCATACTTGCACTTATGAAACTTTGCATAGAAAAAAATTCATTTTTATTCTGACGAAGTAAAATCAATGCTTCATTCGAAATCGATTGCCCTCAATAGATTTTCAATATTGAACTGTTGGTAGAGTTAGAAGCATAAGTAGTTCGAAATGGCTCATGTTCAACAGTCAACTGCTTATATAAATCAGGGATGTAGAGTCGAATTCCCTCAGAGACTGATTTAGTTCACGACAGAGAAATGTATCCTTTAGTACACCATCATATTGCATTCTTCGAACTGTAATTCTTCTCGAATTCATTGATAGTTGCTAATCCTGGTTGTCCATTATAGATACGTCTGAAATGATTGATTAGATCTTCTTTGGATAAGATATCGATATTATTTGATATTTTCAGAAGAATATCGATAAGAAGATAAAAAATATATAAATGTGATATTGCGCGACTTTAATGTTTGATCTCTACTGACGGAAGTAAGAGATAAACTGTTGTTAACGTCAGCTTGATCTGATGTACTATTGAAAGCAGTAAAAGAAATCTGTTCATCCTATATTCTTTGATGATAAGATATATTACTGATAAGAGATTCGAAGTTAGTAAATGTGCGTTTGACCTAAAGTAATAAAAAAAACACGAATGTTGCTTTTCTATCTTATTATTCCCAAGAGTGTAGTAGTCAAATATGTACTCTATAACCCACTATTCTTACCTTGCTATATTTCTTAAGCTAGTTTACACTACTATCATCATTTTATGTAGCACGTAAATTGCTTTTAACTGCTCCATCTCATGTATAACAGATACTATATGCTCTGAGTATTGATGTGAGATAATTAGGACGATTCTTCTGTCATGAATGTCGCTCATATAATCAATACAATCATCGCAGTTGTGAAAGACTACAACATGTAATTTTGATTGCATATCTTGATGATTTTCATCACTTTGACAAAGCCAAATGATCACATCTTTCTGTGAAATGTTTTCATTATTCGTAATCATATTGTCGTCCTACACTAAAGAGTAAAAAACTTGTTTGTACGCTTAACAACAATTCATTTCAATCAAATTATTAAGAAAAAACAGTGAGAAATACGTATTTCTGTTTCTAATGTTTATTTAACAGTTTCTTTTTTAGGCAGGAAAGTAATAGGGGTGGGTGTGGTGAGAAGATCTACACCCACACCCACAAAAAATGGATTTCGTAGAAAAGCTGTTTCAACAATGGAAATTAAGTTTTGAAGTTGTAAAATGTTTTCAGAACTGAAAATGACACATGCTCAAACGATGAAAACACCATTTTGACGAGATTCATTTTTTGGCTTACCCTTTACAGGAACCAGTGCGAATTTTTCGACAAAAAAAAAGTCAACAAGACGATTAAAACCTCACATATCTCTACTCAGTTTTAGATACTGATTCCGAATATTAAATTAGTTTTTATCTGAATGACACTTTTTCTGATAAAAATCTACAAAATATTGGTCAAAAACTCTCAAAATTAAGTCTATATGGCAGTATCACTGAAACCTTTTCCAGTGGCCAATATTTTTTCCTTAATATTTTTATATCATTTTGTAGTGCTTCCAAAGCTCTCTCAAATCATGTGAAAACTAGCGTGGCTGGGCCATTAGATGGGTAGACTTGGATACACTATTTCAATAGGCAATACTCATAGTAAAAGCATATTCGAGCAATATGCTCTTTCTAAATTTCTATCAGGTAGCATTTTTCTTGGATATTTCTATAGCATTTTGTAGTCCTTGAAAAGTTCTATCAAACTATACAGAAACTAGCCTAATCGACTACCATATTGAGAGTTAAATAGACCATGATTGTATATGATGTGCATACGAAAATCATTGACTATTTCAGATGGCCTGAGCACAGCATAATCAAGTGTAATCGGACTAATTCTACTAATGATGACTTTTAAACACCTTGCAGAAGAGTTTTACATAGAAAAAATCAAATTTCTCGAGGGGGGCCAATTTCATTGCTTATCGATTCTCTCCTTTAGGCAGCCGAGAAGAAAAATTGTCTCTGATTTAATACATGCAGATAGACAAAGAAAAATATATAAAACTTAATTTTCGGAAAGCGAGGAAGGGGAATTCTTTTTCCTCCTTCACATTAACAACGATAGCCTTTTGTTTGTGAACAGGAGGGAGCAGACGAAAAAATTCGATCTAGCGTCTCGAGATAAACAAGGAGAAGAGAAATTGGGTGTAGACCTTCTTTTATTTTACATCTACACCCATACCCACATCCACACCCTGCCCTCAATGAACAACAGAAAGTAGGGTCTCCTTAATTGTCAAATAAACCAATGAAACGTGCTTGAATAACTTCGTATTCACAAAAGCAGCATTTTTAGTCAAAATTTCAAAGCATACATTAGAAATTTAAAAGTTACTTTTCCGGACGTCCTTAATGGATGACCCCCAATGAAACAACACTTCAAAAAACAGATGTAAGATTTTTTCTTAGTTTTGTACAACGAGCAGGACCAAAAGATATAATTGGATTGAGGTCAAGTCGAACGGAATATGATGGTTTGAGCATATTCTCGTTATTGAGGCTTCTCTAATTCTTTTTGATTTTCATATTTCTAATTTCGGTAAAAAAACACTGTCTGAATATGTTCAAAACAACATTAGCATTTACTCGACGAGCTTGAGCCAACCGTCAAAGAAAACGACAAGAAATATTTTGTTCCAATTTAGAATTGTCAGCATCATAGAATTTATAATTTCTCATGAATAATAAAATAATAGAACTAAAGGTGGCGTTTTATACAAGACTTGCAATCCATTGTTGATTTCTTAGTTCAACATTGTAGACTTCTCATGATGTTGCACCATTATCGAAGTATAATATTAAACTGCAAAATCAATATTAGGTTGTATTTATTTAGATTCAGTTTCCTTTATTTTTTCAAAGTAAAATATACAGGTAAAGTGCCAGCCTTACAGAGAAGAAAAAAAATTGCTGAGTAACTATTGACAGAACAGAAAAAACAATTGTTTGATCCAAATGCTAGGAAAATGCACTACTGCACGTGATTTTTATTAAAGCAAATATTTATTTATTGTGCCACGGATAGTTTTCTCTTTCATAACTTTTTCTTTTTTTTCTTTTCATATTCTGATGTTGAGTTTTATTAAAAAGAAATTTTTGTTGTAACTATTATGGCACAAATATTACTATCGAATAACGAAGAAATAAATAATTATTCATTTAATCCATTATTGATCACCACAGTTAATGAAAATAAAGAGAGTTCAACACTCATTTGGTTTGATCCAAATATTGGATCACGTCATGATACTGAACAAACAAAACAACAACTTCGTCTTATTAATGATTATGTTATTTTTCATACTGACCTTGAAGAATGTATTACATTTATTCAATCAATTGATAAAGAAAAAATATTTCTAATAACATCAGGATCAAAAGCATCAGAAATTTTATCACAAATTCCTTCTTATCATCAAATCGATTCGATTTTCATCTTTTGTTTAAAAAAAGATCGATATGAATTCTTATTAAATAAATATCAAAAAATAGTTGGAATTTATACAAATCTTGATGATTTATGTGAATCAATTAAAGAACAAACTAGTCTGTTTAATAAACAAATACAAACATTTTCTTTTTTTGATCAACATCAAAAATCAACAAAAGATTTATCCAAAGAATCAGCAGAATTTCTTTGGTTTCAATTATTTAATTATGTTACTTCTCGTCTTCCGCGAACTGAACTAGCAAAACAACAAATGATTCAAATATGTAAAGAATATTATCGTGGAAATACGAAAGAAATGAAAAATATTGAAGAATTTGAACAAACCTATCAATCAGAAGATGCTATTCGTTGGTATTCAAAAGAATCATTTCTATATAAATTAATTAATAAAGCATTAAGAACAGAAGATATTGATTTCTTATATATATTTCGATTTTTTATTGGTGATCTTTCTCAAAATCTTCAACGTGAACATGAAAAGATTTTATTATCAGAAGAAAAAATTGTAAATGTTTATCGAGGAGTTAAACTTAATACCAAAGAACTTAATAAACTAAAAGAAAACCAAGGAAAACTTGTCTCAACAAATGGATATTTATCAACAAGTCGACAAAAGTCACAAGCACTTGATTTTGCAGTAAAACAAACAACAAGAACTGAAGTCGTTTCTGCTCTTTTCCATATTCAATGTGATATTGAACAAGTAGATAAAAATATTATTTTTGCTGACATTCATCAATTTAGTGAATATTCATATGAACAAGAAGTTTTATTTGATTTGAATGCATGTTTTGAAATTGAATCAGTCGAGGAAGACGAATCATTAACAATAATTAAAATGAATCTTTCAAATGAAGGACAAAAAATTACTAAAGATTTTATCGAATTAACGAAGCAAGAAACAGAAGAACTAAGTGTTTCGATTGTTTTTGGAAGATTATTATGTAACTTAGGTGAATATGATAAATCACAAAAGTATTTTCAACAACTATTATATGACTCACATGATGAAGATCGTGCTTGGATTGAATTTAATATTGGTCGAGCTCTTTATTTTAAAGACAAATATGACAAAGCTCGTGAATACTATGATCGTGCATATGATCGAATGATGAAAAATGAACCACCGAGAGTTAAAGACACTGCTCATGTTCTCAACAACATTGGTAACGTTCTCTATCGCCAAGGAAAATATGATGAAGCACTCCACTATCATCAACGTGCATTGGAAATTCGAGAGAAATATTACCCAGCTGGTCATGTAGATGTTGCTCATAGCCTGAACAACATTGCTCTTCTTCTCGATCATCAAGAGAAGCGCGATGCAGCCCTTCAATATCATCAACGAGCATTGAAAATTCGAGAAAAATTATGTCCATCAGGTCATGGCGATATTGCACAAAGTCTACACAACATTGGTCTTATTCTTGATAATCAAGGAAAATATGATGAAGCACTCGATTATCATCAACAAGCATTACAAATTCGAGAGAAATTTTATCCATCTGGCCATGTCGAAATTGCTAAAAGTCTCAACAACATTGGTAAAACCCTCCATCGTCAAGAAAAATACGATGAAGCGCTCCGCTATCATCAACGTGCATTAGAAATTCGAGAAAAATTTTATTCATGTGATCACGCGAATATTGCTCATAGTCTCTACAACATTGGTAACGCTTACCGTCGACAAGAAAAACGCAATCAAGCTCTCAATTACTATCACAAAGCATTGGAAATTCAAGAGAAAGTTTATCCATCTGGCCATGTTGATACTGCTCGTAGTCTGCACAACATTGGTCTCATCCATGATAGGGAAGGAAAATACGATGAAGCTCTCGATTATTATCACAGAGCATTCGAAATTCGACAGAAATTTCATCCATCTGATCATATGGAGACTGCTCAATGTCTCAACAATATTGGTAACATTCTGTATCGACAAGGAAAATACAATGAAGCTCTTGACTATCTTCATCGAGCAGTAGAAATCAGAGAGAAATTATATCCATCTGGTCATGTCGATATTGCTCATACTCTACATAAGATTGGTCTTACTCTTGACAGCCAAGGAAAATACGGTGAAGCTCTAAATTATTATCAAAGAGCTTTGCAAATTCGAGAGAAAATGTGTCCTTCCGGTCATCGTGATATTGTTTATAGTCTCGACAGCATTGGTAAAATCTACCGTCGACAACAAAAGTACAATGAAGCTCTGGATTATAATCAACGAGCATTAGGAATTCTAGAGAAATTTTATCCATCTGGTCATGCCGATATTGCTCTTACTCTCTATAACATTGGTCTCACCCTTGATAACCAAGCAAAATACGATGAAGCTCTAAATTATTATCAAAGAGCTCTGAAAATTCGAGAGAAAATTCATCCGTCAGATCATGTTGACATTGCTCAAAGCCTCAATAATATTGGTAACATTTTGTATCGACAAGGAAAATACGATGAAGCTCTCAGCTATCATCAACAAACATTGGAAATTCTAGAGAAATTACATACATCTGGTCATAGCGATCTTTCTCGAAGTCTCTACAACATTGGTAACACTTATCGTCGACAAGAAAAGTACACTGAAGCGTTTGCATACTATCAACGAGCATTGGAAATTCTAGAGAAATTATATCCGTCGGGTCATGTCGATATTGGTCATACTCTCCATAACATTGGTCTTACTCTTGATAACCAAGGAAAATACAATGACGCTCTAGATTATTATCAAAGAGCTTTGAAAATTCGAGAGAAAACTCATCCTTCCTGTCATCTTGATATTGCTCAAAGTCTTCAAAAAATTGGTAAAACCTACCATCGACAAGGAAACTATGACCAAGCTCTGAATTATTATCAACGAGCATTAGAAATTCTACAGAAATTTTATCCTTCCGGTCATCTTGATATTTCTGATATTCTTCACAACATTGGTTTTGTTCTTTATAAGCAAGGAAAATACGATGAAGCTCTCAATTTTTATCGACAAGGATTGAATGTTCGAGAAAAATTGAATCCATCTGGTTATATCGATATTGTCCAAAGTCTGTGCAGCATCGGTGACACTAACCGTCGACAAGGAAAACATAGCGAAGCTCTTGATCATTATCAACAAGCATTGAAAATTCAAGAGAAAGTTCATCCACCAGGCCATGTCGTCACTGCGTCCTGTTTGAATAATCTTGGTCTTTGCTATGAAAATGAGAAAAATGCAAAGGAGGCACTCTCATATTATCAACAAGCACTGGCTATTTATGAGAAGTCTCTTCCTTCTGATGATCCAAGTCGACAGATAGTCGAAAAAAATATTCGTAGACTTAATGTAAAAAATGAAAGTCGATGAATGATTCTAGTGATGCAACAAATGTTAGTGCATCATGTCAAAGATTACCTTTTCTTGTAGATACAATGTAAGCCACCGTCGATTCTCTGTATCAGTCATATTCAGCTTTTCCTGCTTTGTTGAAAACTGTGGTGAGAATTCAGCGCATACAAAACAAAGGCTTCGGAATTGATAGGTATTGACCAAAATTCGTCTAAAAATTTTATTTTTATAGTCAATTCTAACTACTTGAGCGACTCGTGTTTTGTATTTGATGAAATCTAAAAATAGTTTCTGATAGAGCGCTCAAAACCGATTACAACCACTATGAGAATTTTTCGGAAATTTTATCGTCTTCAATACTGGAAATATATTAATATTCGACTTCGAATTTCAGGAATTGACAGGTACTGGTGCATCTGTGATAAAAGTAACATATTCGTAACATTGAAAACGATCAAGTTTCCGAGAATATCTCATAATAGTTGTAATCAGTTTTGAACTCTCTATCAGAAACTCTTGTTAGATTTCATCAAAAGCAAAACACGAGTCTCTCAAGTAGTTAGAATTGAGTCTAAAAATAAAATTTTTAGACGAATTTCGATCAATACCTATCAATTCCGAAACCTTTGTTTTGTAGTCGTTGACATGATTCATCAGAAATTGGTACATCTCTAAATGCTTCAGAAAATAAGAAAAGTTCTATAGCGATGTGAATGCTTTGCTTGAATTTTGGAAATTTTGTTTGTAATTGTAAATGTTTGATATTTTACGCATCATGGTTTGTTACAACTATAAATCATCAGATTTAATGGCATGCACTATTTTTTGAGTGAGATTTGTGAAAAGACTCCTGATAATAATTAACATTTATTTTTTCGTTACTGAATTACGATCAACAATTCATTTACCTATTTAACAGAATAATTGTATTAATAGAAAAATTATTTTCTTTTGTCTAGTAATCAATATGAGAAAATTAAATCGATATCTATCTTCGTTGATCAAATTAATCAATTTCGTTGAAAAAAAACAATTCTTTTTATTCAGAAACTATTTTCTCTCAACTCAAATAAAATGTTTAGTTTAAAATAGTTGCAAAAGATGGAAATTCTTTTTGCGACGGAAATCGAGTTCTTCAAAATGAGGAGATAGCTGAAAAATTCTGCGAAATCTTTCAACATGCGATTCATTGTTTATTTTTTCAGAAAAACATAAAAGCATTGAAAAACAATCTAACTTCTTCGAGACGCTTGAAAAATTTCAACCAGTCGTTTAATAATTATTTTTTGAAATAGAAAATTGAAAGTTGACTTGTTCTTTAATCTAGTGCCAAATGATTTCTTCAGAGATCTTATATTTCATCATTTTCCATCAATATTCTCTTTGTTAGAGTTTTTAGGAAAGACTACACGTTATGAAGGTTTCGTTAAATTGAAGAAAATTTATTTATAAATATGTTATTTCTGTAGGCAATATTTTAACATAGAGAACACTTAATTGTTAATTTTTTAGGAGACTTTTTATAAAATGTTGTAAATTACAAATTCATGAAGTTTAAAACAAGCTTAGGAAATTGTTCATCTAAAAAATAGAACAAAGAACTATTTCATTTTTAAATTGGTCTTATAAAAAATTCTATTAAAATTATTGATTTTTGTGTTGTGGGTCTAGTTTCGCTTCTTCTGCTGTCCCTCATCCGCAGCCACATCCCTTTGAAGTTACACGAGTTTTAACAATGTTTTTCAAAAATTTTTTATCGGAATTCTATGTTGCTTCATTGACATATGAATGAAGCATGTGAATCATAAAATGCGTGGTTTACTTTTCTTAATTAGTGTGTGTTCCCTACGAAGGATACGATATTCGCATGCTGATGAATATTTTCAAACAAGATATCACATCCAAGAGAATGTCGAACAATTTGATGACTCGCTTTTTACTACATTCAGATTGGCCGAAAGCGTCAAAGTCTTGTGTGAAGAGTGTGGTCAGAATACAACAGAGCTCGATCGTAACTACAAGAATTTAATAGTATTTAGAAAAATCCTTTTTGGACTGAACTCCATTTCCTAGTTTTTTTCATAAATCTAGCTAGTGAAATTTTGCTCGATTGAAAAATGAACATTCGCTTTTGAGTCGAGGCTAGGGTGTGAGTGTGGGTGTAAAATAAAAGAAGGTCTACTCCCACACGCATGTTGCCTGTGCCACTCTAGAACGACAAAAGAATTAAGAAAGCACTGACAAGCGTTTGGGTTGTGTTTGTTTTGATGATGTTTTCGATTTACTTCAAGATGTTGCAATTGAAAATACAGATAATAATCCTGATAGTAATATTAGAGAGAAAAATGCTGCGTTGCCAAAATGAAGATCGATGTGAGATGATGTCTATATCTATGAAATAAATTCAACCTGTAGCTGCTCTTGTTCTGATGACGTAGACTATTGCGACCAATGGAAATGAAGAAAATTTTTTATTGATATCAAAAAGTTTTTCATTACGTCATCAGTTTGCTATCTATTTTATTTGAATTTTCTTTAGAATAAATACAGAAAAATGAGCTTATAACTAATCTCAATTCAACGAACAATTACATTTTAGTGTTTTTGTTGTCTCCTCTGGATGGACTGTATACTTTTCTGAAGATATTGAAGTCTTTTTCAAGAAACACAAAAATAAACGATGTGGTTGAGTTTTAGAGAATGAGAGTTCTCTCTCTCCTAGCAGATATGTTTTTGAAAAAAAGAAGAAATACAAAACTGGAAATGAAAGGAGTTATATAAAACATACAAAATAGCATTTGCATGTCTTTATTTGACTGTTTGTCATATTATTTACATATTAATTATTGTGAATGGATATTTTCATGTAAAAATTGCTCTTCTTGTCCATTTTCAATAGGCAATAGATGAGATGAGGTGAAAGGTAAATAGAATACAATTGCGCGCTCCATTTTTGAGATACTTTGGCGCTGCAACTCTTTGGTCTTTAGCAAAATAATCTTCCATTCATTGACAAAGTGATACAACTATAAAAAAAACTTACGATCTGTTTTATTTCTATATTTCCTTCTCATACAATTCGTAAAAATTAACTTCAACCAAAAAATGAATTCTCCTTAATAAACGTGTTTGAAACTTCGCCAAACTAAACATGAATATGGATCGTTCACTATCAATCCGACAATTAGTATTATATACTTATATTTGCCTTATTTATGTACAGTTGAACTTTTCCAAAGAATACTTCGAATAAACGGATTGACCAATTACGTAGTGGAAAAGTTAAGAGAATATTCTTTGTCAATTTCATAACTAACCCTTTGAGTCCCGGCTTTTTTTTATAAGAAATCTTTCAATATAATCTTTGTTTCTTTAGGAAGATACAGTATTCTTGTATCAAAAATCGATTAGTAGTTTATCTTTGTATCATAGTCTTTGAAGCAGTCGACAATGCATAGAGAAGCATCACAGTCAGGACAAAAAATACCGTGTATCACATCAAATATTATGGGATGTGCAAACGACGTATTTTCTTTGATTGCGATGTTTGTGGGATAAGTGAAGGGACATGGTGTGCAGTTAGACGAAGAGGGGAATCTCTTGTCGACAGTCTTCCAATAATAGTTGGTCTTATAGTCTCATCAAAAAATAATTGAAAATAATCAAGCGGTGTTCTTACGACAAGAAAAATCGTATTTTGTAAACCAGGTTTACCAACGAACTGCAAAATAGTTGGGGTGAATATTCTACAGTGCCATGGGCGTTCTCCTGGCAGATCCTCATCATCAGAATCAATAGTTATGCAATCAAAAGCTGTTAGAAGTTCATCTTCTGACGCTAGGTCGGATCCAGAGTTCTCATACTTTCCCTAATTTCTTCTTCAGTCAAGCGTCGTTTTCTTAAAGTTGCCATTGTGAAAAGGTGTAAGGTTGGTCGTTGAAATATATGATTATTATCAAAAGAAGAATATATTCGATTCGTTCTTACGCTTGTCTTTTACTACTCGAACGATGGGTATATATGTGAAACGATTTAGAACCGGAAAGAACTTACTAGATTCTCTAGATAAGTCAGAACTACCTAGAACTTTACAGAAAGATAGGAACTAACCAGAGAGTATTTAGAGAGAACAGTGCATGACCAATACAAACAGAAGAACGAAAGAAAAATGATTGTACTGGAATGAGGAATGATGTGTATCAGCATACATAATGAAAGAAAGCATATACAACATAGATATGTGACACTAAGAAGCCTAGAGGAAGGAAAGAAAGATGGTACTTGTCTGACATCACCTAATAAAAGATAAAAAGATGTTCTAAGCAGTTAAAGAATATATTAGGAGCACCTTTGTTCGATAAACGTGTTTGGATGTATATATACGTCGCCGGGACTCAAAGGGTTAAAGTATTAAAATAAGCTAAAAGAAATTCTTTTAGAAGAATATCAAAGAGAATTAAATATTTTTAATGATAAATATTAATGTTCTTTCTTTATTATTTATTTTACTGTATCATTTCAATCAAAATTCTTTTTGTTTTCTAAAAGATTACTTATTTTGAATTAAATTTATTAAAAATTGAATTGAAATATTAAACAAGTCATATTTGGGAAACAAAAAATATCAAATTATTTTTATTAAATTAGAATTAATTCGTTTGGATATGTGAAGTAATCCACAACTAATAGGTTTTGAATATGGATGTGGATGGGTATGAGTGTGGGTCAAACTTCTTTTCATTCATACGCACTCCTACTGCACCTACAGTGTTACCTACAGCTATATCCTTCCTCCATCGTTACTGTCTATAGGACTAATCAACATAACGATGCAAGTTACAAAAAGTCAACAAGATACTTTGTTTTCTATTCTACCTTTTTAGCACCTTGTCAAGAGAAAGAATAAAAGAAAAAGATAAGCTAAAATAATAAATATTTAATAGAGCAACAAGAGAACGGAAAGACGTCCTGTGTATATTAACCAACGCTGCTTATATTTTCATAATCATCAGTTGGACTTTCTTTTATCTTGAAATCTAACTATATAACCGTTAGAAACCTTTGTTGCAACGCTGAGTTTTTGAAAGTTAAGACATAAAAAATGAATAGTAAGTTGAATGAAAATATAATTACTCATATGATTTGTACTAAGGAGGCCTTCCTCCTTATAATAGATTTTCCATTTAGGATGGCCTATTTGAGCTGAGCTTTTTAGAAATGAATAGTTCGAGTGAGAAACGCTTCTGGTAACAATTTCAGTCCAGTATATTAAAACCAGAGTGAACTCCCGACTTATCTATAGTCCATTTATGAACTTGAGGATAATCTTTATAACTTCGTCACTATCAGTGGTACAGAGCTCGAGGTGGTTTCAAAATAAAGCCAATAACTGTGCACAGTTTTTATGATCATTTAGTACATACGGTATTAAAATAAGCAATACAGATTTTATTTCACGAGACTAAATCTTTCTCTTTCTCAACACGAAAGTCAATTATGAAAAATCTCTGGTCGGACAAAACGTTTACTCCCATTTTGACCGCTAGAACACAAAAAATATTGATTATATATTGAACTGAATGGAAGTTATTTCAATTTTTCTAGTGGAAAACTATGTCCTGACAAAAACGGTAAATAAATTTTGACATGGTTTTTTCCATTCAAATCCAAGAAAAATATATATTTAAATGGAATTTTTACAAGCACGTAACAGATGACATAAGCTTGCAATATTTGTGATACTTAAAGTAAATAAGAGTAGTAAGATCGAAGTTTCTTCCAAAAGTCTCTTTAAAATTTAGCCCTTGTTCAAAAATTTATATATTCTGCAAAAAGGAAACTTCACTGTATCTTCCTATGTCAAAAAATCAACATCGATTTTTTTTCGAAAAATTTGCTTTTCTCAGGAGAGAACCCTTAATTCAAATAATAATCTTATGAAAGATCTAAATGTAACTATGCACAAACATTTATTAGTGATTATTGAAAAACATTCAATTTATCTAGTTGAAACATTTCTTTGCAACTACGGGGAATCGATCCGCAAGTTGTATGAAAGAAATTTTTATCAGACTATATTTGATTAATATATAGAAAAACCGATTGCTGTGTAGATTAAGTTAAAGCTATATCGAACAGATGCGAGCCATTAAAATAGTATGTTATGAGATTTTATAAGAATATCTGGTTTTTTTAACAAAAAGTTCATTTCAGATCGAGAAACTATTCAGTTAAGTTACATGCCGAATTAATGAAAACGTTGAATGTGTTGTCATTTATATCGTAATAATGGTTCGTCTCTTTTCTCTTCATCGACAAATAAAGAACAGTAATTATGTTCAGAAATTTTATAACTATTTCTTCTCTGAAAACTATAATGAAAAAGTACTTTGATTTTTAGAAATAGAAAAAATTGATTTAATAATATAATGGCAATACAATCGAAATTTGAATTAGAAAGATACCAATATGGTATTGATATACGTAAAACACATCATATCTATAGAAAAGATGATAAAATAATTTCTTTTGGTGAATGGATACGACGAAGAAAAGATCGATGTATTATTGTTGAAATGATTACCGATATAGGCAAACATGAAGCTTTCTTTTATCAGGAATTGAATGGTCATGATCATATTATTCGAACATTTGGTTCTATTGAAAATAATCTTAATCAAATAATATACGTGCAAGAATATGCACAACAAAATGATTTATCTGGATTATTATTTGATACTCATTTATCACAAATAGTATTAATTGAAATATTTTTACAGATTGCTAATGCAATGAGTTTTATTGCTAGTAAATCAATTGTACATGGTGATTTAGGTTGTCGAAATGTTCTTGTATTTAAATTAGATCCAAATCAACCAAAAAATAATTTAGTTAAAATAACTGACTTTGGTCTTGCACGTTCACTTAAGATTTCATCTATATCGAACAATTCTTCTATTATTCCAAAACGATACTGTGCATTAGAAATACTTCGAAATAATGATCAATCAAGTTATACAGAAAAATCCGATGTTTATTCAATGGGTGTTTTAATATGGGAAGCTTTATCAAATAGTGAAATTCCTTATTCATATATTGCTGATGATAATCAAGTTGTAAGAGCAAAATTAGATAATGAAAGATTAAATAAACCGCTTATTTGTGATCGTCAACTTTGGACTCTTATGACATCTTGTTGGGAAGATGAACGAGAATGGCGACCAAATTTTGAAGAAATTAAAGAAAGATTATCTGTCATTAAACCGTCGGAAGTCTCAGATATTCGAGAACCAATTTCATTGTATGAGTAAGAAAATTTTCTTGATTTTAAATTCAGCAGACTCTTATTCATCAGTATCTATTCAATTTGTTTTTTCGAACATGATGATATATTGAATCATAATTAAATCAAAGAGTAATTTAATATTTTCTTGAAACATCTTTCTATCTTTAAAATGAATTGATCAATTGCTTATTTTTTAAGGCCACCGACAGGCTGCGCCTTTAAACTTAATGTTGATGTGTCAAGGAATGGTTTACTAGGTGGCAAATTTCGTAAAATCTATGAAGCTCAATGGATGTTAGACAAAGGGACAGGCTCAATTGTTTTAATTGAAATCAATGAAGCACCAACTGACTATGAAGTATTATTCTACAAAGAACGCGACAATCATCAGCATATCATCAACACATTCGGATTTGTTGAAAATAATTTCAGATCAATTATGTTATTGCAAGAACGAGCACCATATGGTCATCTTCAAGAGTTACTAAAAAAACATGTATTCGAACCAACACCAATGGTACTCATCAATATTTTCTCACAGATTATTGATGCAATGATTTACATCGTTAACAAAGGTATGATACATGGTGATTTACGTTGTTCAAATGTTCTTGTCTTTCAAATGGATTCATCTAANTGCTTGATTTCCAACAGGAAACATGAAAAAACGTTTTTTTTTTAAAGAAATATGTTTTCCCTTGAATTTTGTTAGTGTCGTTATTAGGGACAAAAAATGGCTGACTGTCGTTATTAGGGACAAAAAATGGCTGACTGTCGTTATTAGGGAAACTGCTCCTAATAACGACACTTGAAGTCCCTGATCGTAGACCGCTGATTTCTCCACTATTACGCGATGAAAAAAGACCGTGGTCATACCATTTGAAAGAGCAGACTCTGAGGATCTTGCATATATAAAAATATTTTTGATCGGATGTATAATAGAGGCGTACCACGATAAACAAGAGAAGTGAAAATTCTCGTGTCGTTATTAGGGACAATGACTCTAATAAAAACAATTAAAGAACGTGTACGTTTTCTGGCAGAACATCGTACTCTTTTTCATAATCCGGTTTGTAATGATTCTGATGCAATAGCATCGGAAAAATATATTGATAATTCATTGGATAATAATTCTCAACAAGTGATTGAACAAAGTAACATAAATCAATTCACAACAATGTCAACGATTTCATTTTCAAATAATCACCTCAGTAATGGTTCTGCATTTGATTCATCAGCTGATTCCGAAGATATGCATGAAGAACCAATAAGATCACCAAAAGAAGATGTTGAAAAAGAAAACTATGAAAATCAAGAACAACCACGTTTTCCAAATAAATATATTATATCGGATTTACCACCAAAAATTCAACAATTTATAGACAAAGGCGAGATAGATCATTTTCGTGGTCATACAAATGCTCGTCGACTATTACTTGACGCTGTTTTCACTGACGTCACAACGAAATATTCTCTGCTGTGAGTAATTATGATTCTTTATCCAAAAAAGAAGTCATATATTTGTCTATTTTATTTTAGGTATCCTGGTATACATGAGTACAGATCAATGGGAATAGCAATACTGGAAAAGTTAAATATTATGAATGATACTGCGGCATTGGTAAATAAACTGTTTTCAAGCTAACCATAAATGAGAGTTATTGGGTTGAGAGATCCGATAATGGAACACATAACTTTACTAACTTCTCTCTATGAGCTATAACAAAATTTCAAATAAGAGTCTATCAAATTATAAAGCTTCTTCTAGCTTACATATTTGATTGACATACAATTCCTAAAACATAGTTGAAATTAATGGAAGAAAAGACTCTAAATTCTGTGAAAGCTATCTGGCTTATTATAGACTTTGTCAATCAGGCCATAGGATCAGATTCTGAACGTACCCTCTAGAAACTTTTTTCTTCATTGTTCTTCGACATAATTATGTTTTTTTGTAGAACGATTGGACTGAAAGCCTTAAAGGGAAATTCAAACGAGAACGTCGTCCACTCCAACAAATATCTAATGAAGTTCTAAAGATGAAGCTGAAATTTGGTAATTCTGCTGGTCGTCCAGTCAAACAAAGTGATAATGTAGTTGCAGCTCGTCGTGAAGTAAGTATCTATCAAAACAAATGACTTTAAAGTCAATCGTACAGTGGAAATAATTCTTTTTTTCTTCGAGGTTCATGCTGAATTTTGGAATAAAATAGATGTTAATGATGATCTTCAAGAATTTGATGAACATATTCAATTTATGAAGAACGAATTAGCTAAGGAAAACTTTGATTTTCATAATGTTGAAGTCTCCTGGAAAAAAACACTAGTTGAAAGAAGATTGTATGTTCAGAATCACACTACTAAAGAAGTTCTTCAAGAGTATCCTGGTTATAGCAATGCTTTGTTGGTAAGCACATTCTTATCAATTTTTTTAGATTTTAATCAGTATCTCATTCCTTTCCAATAATTACCAGTTTATTTATTTGCAATAAGTATTTTTTTAAAGATATTCGACGAGATTCAGTATTTATGTAATGTTGATATTGAAGCGAATTTCAGATCTATGTTACCAAAACTACTTACCAATATGCCTGATAGCTTAGGTTTTGTTAATGGTAAGTAACTAATGAGATTGCTTGACGTTTGTTAGTCCGTTTCGTTCTGTTTGATATTTGTTTAGATCTTCCAGCAGCACGTTTGATCAAACTTTTATCTCGATACTTTACTGATTCGTGGCAATATGTCTTGACATACAAAGTAAGCTTGGATTTCTCAGAAAATATAAACTGCCGAGCAATAGCTAGATAATCGAAAAATATCATAAAGCCTCCGACACATTCGAACACCCGGGATCTTTTATTCTGTCTTATCGCTCATAAGTTACAAGGTCTTCTATTATGTCCCCTAAAAAAGTTATATTATTCAGCCATCTTTTCAACAAATCTTTGTTTCAATTCATTTTTGTTCAATAGAATCGTTAGAAAAATAGTATTTTACTTATTCAACATGTGTATGATGAGAAAGCAATAAATGTTATCCTGTGAAAAAAGAAAGTCTATCATTGATAATAAATATTCTTAGAATATTAAAGGTAACGTATCCGAACACCTTGGTAAAATGTTCACTAGCATTTTTTTCTAAAAAAAAAAGATCTGCCATTGACCAAATTTTAACTTCTCAATAACTAAATAACTCAGAAAAGGAATTAACTTGCTTTGTCAAACTCAATTAAATTAATTGTTCTTGTTTATTTTTGACTAATATTGATGGAATCTGCTCACATGAGAATCTACTAATAGCATGCTTATTAGTCTCAAGCCAACGTCAATTAATACATTTGTATTAAGAATAAGCAATCAATAAGAAAAAGAGTAGTTGGATACACATTTCGTGTTTTCTTCTTGGTCTTTTTTAAAAACCGGTTTCAGGTTTTATTAAAAATAGAAATGCGTTCTGAGTCTCATGAGAAGTACTTACAAAAAACCGACGCGTATTATAGACGAAAATCAAATCAAATTGTCGAATGATCTTATTCGATTGAATTTGTCTGAGGCGAACTGAATCCGATCGAAGATGTTGCCGAATTGAAATTTTCTTATTCGTTTCTGTCTTGACCGTATATCCATGAGTTCACGTGTTTTTCAATTATGAAAGAGTCCTTTGTAATGAATATGTTTCAGAATTTCTAGAAATCTCAGATAATGAGGCTTTTTAATTATTAGGCCATGAAGTTTCACCTAATATGCTACTATTTTACAAAGATCTCTTCATGCGTTACATCCACGGTTCTGCACTGAGTTCATTATAGCTCAAGACCATGAGAAGTTTTTTATATAGAGAACCGTAAAAATTCCTTCTGAATATGCTGCAGAAGAGCACTAAAAATATTCCATGATGTGTATTCTATAAAGAAATACATTCTTTACTAAACAGTTGTTTCGCAGGATTTTTTTCACTTCGAACTGACGCATCGTTTTCATGAAGGAAGTAAAATATTGTTCATACTGACCTAAGATACAATTATGGACTTAAATACTAAAAAAGTTAATAAACTCCAGAAATTATTTGTAAAAAAATCGATTTTATCAGGGGAGTCTTCTAATATATATTTTGCTTCATTTATTCAAGGGTGGTCTTCTATTATGTGTGGGGAGGGGTCTTCTAATGTGTCGGAGGTTTTACTTATTTAGATTAAAAAAATTAATCACATTTTGTTTTCTTTATCATTAAGGAACCATCATCTCCTCGTCCAATAATACAAGTTACAACAGATAAATTTCTAATTTATTTAGATTATGNACAAACTACAAGCTTGTTATCGAGGTAACCCTTGATGGCCCTGTCATCACCTGATCGTCTTAATTACATTATGTTTTGTGTTCTATATATGGTATGATCATCTTCCAATAATCTTTTATTCTACATATCGCGTGATCATCGTTCTATATACTATTGTTGAACCTATGGCGCGATTGTACCAACACATATAAAGACGCGCATTTTCCTTTTTTTGATTATTGCTGTTGGACATATTCGTCTTCATTCTTTTTCTAATAAACTATATAGTCAGTGCTAGCACACCCACACCCTCGTGGAACAGCAGAACAGACGAATATGTCACTCAACCATTATCTTTGTTGTTCTCGATCTTTTCGTCGAAATCCGATGTGTTTATCTGTTCAAACATTCAAGAGATGCACTGTTCATTCAGTATAGAGACGAAAACAGAGCCATCTTCTTGTAAGAGCAACATTTAAACACCATCTCTCTCTCTCTCTCGAACTGAATTGGCTTTGATTATTACAACACGATTAGTTAGTTTCAGCAAATCTGAATTTCGATGGTCAACAAAGTTTGTTAGTCTATTTCGTGTGTAGTGATTATTTCTCACGAGAATCAATCGTAGTGAGAATGACTAGAAGCAACTAAGAAGATGGAGTATCTTCTTAAAGTTAGTATTTCTTGGGCTAATTCGTCCTCGGCTACTGATGTTACTATTGAACATTCCTTACATACTCATAACACTTTTCTGATCAACTGCTAAAAAAGAGGATGCCGAAGAACGAAATCCAACTACTTTCATAGCAGTGTTGCAAGTGAGTGAGTTCTCACCTTCAAAACGTCTGACTGTAGAAAAGGTTTGCTCTTATAACGAAAGGAGAAAATAGTGTGCTATCTCGTGAAAATTGTTTTTATGATCAACAATAAACTCTTATCTGACGATGAGGTATTCGAAAGTTCTTTCATTGTTTTTCAAATGTGGCGCATTTACAGGTTTGCTCTTTTCCTAGTTACTGTATGTAAGTGTCTAAGGGAATCTTATCTGAGTTAGCATTTCGAAAATCTGAGTAGATATCGATGCTTCACATGTGTATCAATGTCGTATGTCTTCCTTCGAAACTGAGGACGCTTGGAGAAAGACATTCAACTCTAATGTATTAACCAAAGCTGCAGCTATCTAGTTTGAGTGATGAATCTGAGTTAATCCTAAGTCAGCTCCATTGTCTATTCAATAGTTTAAGACTTGGTTCTCGCAGTCATACATTTGACACACTCACTCATGTCATGATGGAGAACAGAGACAAATCTTCAGCAAACAGGAATATAGGATGTCCGTCTTTTGATTCGCAATAACAAACACAGTTCAGCATGATACCTGAAAATCTTTTTTCAACGCAGAAGGTACAGGAAGATGATCAGTTCTGTTTCTCCCGCTGACTGTATTTTCGATCGAGCATAAATATTTCTCTTCATCTTTCTCGATCTTGTTCGACATTGATCAGACACAAGGCGATTTTTTATTTTCAAAAAGGAAGCCTATGCGAAAAAAATCCAGTCTTTGTTACATACACACACGACATTAAACATTATAAAAAAATTCAAGTAACTTGGTCCTTCTTGTTGTCCGGAATCAATGACTCTGTATGATCATTTTGACCTTGTTCATCCGGTGTAGTCGCGTCATCTAAGTTAATTTCTGGTATAAGGTACCATTTGTGTGTAGGCAACTTTTGTAACCATTTCAAAGTTTGAGACGAAAGTCCAAGCCATATAATACCAATTATGGTGCATAAACCTGTCGCAATAGCAAAGGCATACTTCTTCGGCAACCAGTTTGCTGCATAGAGAACGATTGATGAATTCAGAGCGTATCCTAAATTATACAGAGTAACGAGTAATGTCATGTAAGTGCCGCCAATACGCGGTTCGCTGATTGAAGCAAAGAATCCGATTTTAGCGGCGAATCGCAATGTATTGATGAAGTCATTGCATGCAAGAAGTAAAATAAGCAACGGATAATAATAACTCGTGGAGATTATGCGAGGAGTGTAATAGACATAAGCAGCAATTGGCATTGCCGTAATAAGATACGCCACATAAGATCCAGCGAACCAGGCGAGAGGTAGTTCTGTATCACGAATAATTAGAGGGGCTATCATTGCCAGAAGAGTGACTGGTACGTTGACAAGGGCTAAATTCTCCCGTGGTACACCTTGACTGAAAAGAAAATTGAAGAAATAACGTAGTTTAGTTGTTCTTGCTTGATACTTCGTGTGCCTATGAATCAGACTATGGCGTTCCTAGCGACATAATATATGATTCTAAGGAAATTTTTCCATCGATTTCGAACAGTGACTATGGCTTCTGAATAAGATTTGGAAAATACTTCTGAAAGAAGGTATTCCCAAATAAAAAATGATCAACATCTTCTGCTTTGGAGCATTCTTCTTTGCCTTCTGTCAACGAATATTAATAGGAACATCTTCCCTTCAAAAGTTGATAGTGGTCAAAACGCGCAAAACATAGAAAATGCTTTTTTTTCAAACAACAGCATGTAGAATGAGAGGTAATGCTGAAAAATTGCAGCAAACATGATTATGAGTACTGCCAGATGAAAAATGACGAAAAATATTGTCATCATTATTTTTTACATTCATTTTAAAACACAAATTGCCTTTCTCGAAAGCTGACGCATTGGTTGAAGTAGCATTCTCATGACCGGGTTTTCTTTTGAAAATGAAAACAACCTGCCTCAAGGTTACGGGTTCAAGTTCGAATGAATTCAAAAGTTAATGCGGCTTCACTCACCTTACGAGTGCAAACTGAGTCATATAATTGATAGCCACCAAACCCATTGGGGCAAGAAGTGAAACGAGAGTCAACTGTCGCATACACTTCTTTTTGAAAAGTTTCCAAATTGAAAGATACGTTTCCATTACAGAGAGACTACTTGTTTCTTCACTATCAAAAGTGGACACGGGTTGTTTCTCGCGAAGAAATATAATAAGACATACAGTGATGACTAGAAAAGCTAGAGCTTCAAAACGTATGAATTGTTTGAGTGAGAATAAGCCTGATGCTTGATGGGACAGTGAAAGTGGCTTGCGAATGAATCGGTTGGTGAAATTCGCTGATTCAAATGTCAAGAGGAGCGAGGAGCCAAGAAAGCGACCAAAAGTTTGTCCCACGCTTTGCGAAGTGGATGCCCATTGAGGGTTCGTCGCAGAAAATAAGGTGATAGCCAAACCATCGACACAAATATCTTGAGTAGCGGTAAGAAAAACAATAAAAATAAAAATGATCGTGAGCAGCATAACACGAAGGTCAGCTATAAACGAATCGACATAGAATGATAGCAACAATAAAATTCCAGCCATACTAAACTGAACAGGCACCAACCATGATTTCCGTCTGCCAAAACGTTCAATGTAGAGAGCATCGATCAATGGTGCCCAAATAAGTTTAAATGAGAATGGGTAATAGGCGAAATTGAACGTGCCTCGATCATGCCACGTGGCACCGTGAGCAATTAAAAATAACGGCAAGCTGCCTGTCAATCCAAGGTTTATGCCTTGTAAAACATAGAGCATGAGAATTAGAAAAATACTAGATAGAGGTGTATGAGTATGAGCAACCATACTTCCAAGATCTAGCAAGTCTTCAATTTCTTGTATATAAAAGAGCTCGATGAATCGAAATCGGTAACTTGCTTATATAATCAGTGACAACAAAGTTTCATACCGCTTCTGTGTATCGACATGTATAAACACAATGATAAGAAAGTTGTTTTTGAGTTACCTTATCTTATTCTTTTCTTTTGTGTATCTCGTACACTTTGCTTTCGAGTGGAAACTCTTGTTGACTAAAGTTCTTGGCCTGCTGTCTAGCGTCACGAAATGCTTAGAAAAGATTTGTCAAAACATCTCTAAAATGATCTTTCAAAAGCATGTAAATATGTTTTTGGTAGTTCTGCAGTCCAACTAAATCAATGGTTTGGCTTCTCGTCGTAAAAAAATTGTTTTCAAGGTGTAGAATCTGTGGTTAACATTAATACCTGAAAACATAAGAAAAGTTAGCTGATAACATAATTTGATAATAAAGTGAGTTGATACAATAAATTAAAAATGCTCTCATAAATTTTCGCTTAATGCAACAATCTTATGCAAGTCCCTGCATAGAAATAGTCTTCGACATATGTAGAAAATGTTTGATTTGTGAAAATAAAATTATTTTATGATCAGTTTTTTCAAAAACAGGATACAAAAACTCAAAAAAGATCCCGACTCGACTGATCTTGACCGGTGATTTACCGTTATCGGTTATAAAGTCCAATTATGACACCTTTAAAATTTCTCATGAGAGGAAATCTTTTATTTGTCTCTATTTGAAAATTTGAATCAAATATACACTTTAAAATAATTCTTCCGACACTATGACACATTACTTGCATTGGAAATTTAAGTGAAGAAAAAATACTCTTCTAACTTTGATTATACCCTTCAATAGTCCGAAGTTTTTACTTGATTCCACGCAAAAAAGTTTCTTCTACAAAACTTGTTCGAAAAATTTTATAAAATTTTTTGAAAACCGTTCGTAGAAGAAATTTCTTTGTGTGGAATAAAGTAGAGACTTCGATCTATCGAATGGAATAATCAAATTCAGAAAATTTTTTTTGTTCACTGTGAAATTTCCTGCGCGAGTAATATATCACAGAGTGTCCGAATAATTATTTTACACAATGTATGTCTTTATAGTTCTTTGATTTAGATACTTACTTTTACAAATAAAATAAGTGTTATTGAACATCATCAAATTATACTGATGAGGATTTTTTTAGCATTATTTCCCCCAGTTCATGTTAAATATCGCGATGTGTCTGTTGATATTAACACTGTTATTCTCCACAAATAACGCTCATCGGCATGACTCTCTTGACCCTCTAATGAATATTCATCTACTTTTGAGCATAGTAAACTACTTCACAATCATCCACAACACTAGCATTCAATTTTTTAAAAAGCGTCGGGTGCGCGTATGAATATTCATATTCGCGTCAGTAAATTTGCACATGGTGATATACATGTTCTTGTGATTCTTTGTCTCGTTAATTGATACAATGGCATCGACATCCACGCACTAATACGCAACTGAAATTTTAAAAATAGTCATACTAACACAACAATATTCACAAACACAATCTTCGACAATGTCGATAAAGCATCTTGACCTCCTCACTATCACTCTTTTTACTATTTTCTAGCTTTCCAAATATATCGAAGAAACAGATCATGTTCAATTGCAGGAGAGGATCGCTAAGAAAGCAAATCAGTGGAACAAACACCAAATCTCACGATGAGCGTTGCAAATTGAACTAAACAGTTCATATGGTTTCTAGAATCTCAGCGTTCTTTCCCATGTTCTAGAACCTCCGCTAGCAAAAATGATCTTTGATGAAATTCTACCTTAAAATAAATCATTCTCGATAATATCTATAATTGGAATACCTCAGATAGGTGACTCTACCTCTCGGAGTACTCATGGGATTAGACTGTTACTGTGAATATATCCCAAAGCATATCGACGTATGAGTGCACAGAGACAAGGACGAATATCAACTGAAAAGCTCGCTTGGTATGATCCAAATCTGCTTCCAATTAAGCGAATCTGAATCCTTTGAGTGACGGTTTCTGTCAATTGCAGCATTCAGATATAGTACACGTGTACAAAAAAATGCTTTCACACGTGGAAATTTTTTTCTTTTTTACACTTCTGATCACTTATGAAACCATCCGAATTTAGACCTTAGGCACTTTTCGTATGAATCCTAACGCCTTGAAGTGTTCATTCAGTGGATTTTACTGAGCAGCAGATAGTCGCTCGCTGGTGTCCTAATGTGGCGGCACTCGCGGCTAGTCGCTGCCATCCATGAGCCCACGCTCCAAATTGGTTACTCTTTTATTCAGGATCTGACTGATCTAGGCTTAAAGTGATTCAAAAGCTTTCCCACTCGTAACTGAGGAGTTCTAGATTTTCTATTTCAAACAATCTCGTCACATACTGGCTGTCGCTCAAATTTCTCGATTTTTGTAGAAATTCCGCTCGACATTAGTAGTCATTGATTGAATCTAAGCGGTACATTGTCAAGCACTGTTGCAGATGTTATCAAGGCATGTCTTAAAATATGTCTCGTGTTAGCTTACTTTGGCAGCAGCTAGTCGTTTTCGGCGTCCCTTTGGAACGCCACTCACGGTTAGCCACTGCCATTCCTGAGTCCACGCTTCTAAATGACTAATTTTTTTTCTGAATAAAACGAAGTCTGTTTTTGAAACTTNAACACAACTAACAATAATGTGTGACGACGACGTAGCAGCACTTGTTATTGATAATGGAAGTGGTATGTGTAAAGCTGGTTTTGCTGGTGATGATGCACCCCGTGCAGTATTTCCATCAATTGTTGGTCGACCACGTCATCAAGGTGTTATGGTTGGTATGGGACAAAAAGATTCGTATGTTGGTGATGAAGCTCAATCAAAACGTGGTATATTAACATTAAAATATCCAATTGAACATGGTATTGTTACAAATTGGGATGATATGGAAAAAATTTGGCATCATACTTTTTATAATGAACTTCGTGTTGCACCTGAAGAACATCCTGTTCTTCTTACTGAAGCACCATTAAATCCAAAAGCAAATCGTGAAAAAATGACCCAAATTATGTTTGAAACATTTAATACACCAGGTAAAAATTGAATAGATTGATAAATTAAAAATAAATACTATTGTTATTTTTTGTTTAGCAATGTATGTTGCAATTCAAGCTGTACTTTCACTTTATGCAAGTGGTCGTACAACTGGTATTGTACTTGATTCAGGTGATGGTGTAACACATACAGTACCAATATATGAAGGTTATGCATTACCACATGCTATACTTCGTCTTGATTTAGCTGGAAGAGATTTAACAGATTATTTAATGAAAATTTTAACTGAACGTGGTTATTCATTTGTAACAACAGCTGAACGTGAAATTGTACGTGATATAAAAGAAAAATTATGTTATGTTGCATTAGATTTTGAACAAGAAATGGCTACAGCTGCATCATCATCATCATTAGAAAAAAGTTATGAATTACCTGATGGACAAGTTATTACTATTGGTAATGAACGATTTCGTTGTCCTGAAGCTTTATTTCAACCAAGTTTTCTTGGAATGGAAACAGCTGGTAAGAATATTTTTCTATACTATTTATATTATTTTCTAATGAAATTACTTTTTTTTCCAAAGGTATTCATGAAACAACATATAATTCAATAATGAAATGCGATATTGATATACGTAAAGATTTATATGCAAATACAGTTCTTTCTGGTGGTTCAACAATGTATCCAGGTATTGCTGATCGTATGCAAAAAGAAATAACATCATTAGCACCATCAACAATGAAAATCAAAATAATAGCACCACCTGAAAGAAAATATTCCGTATGGATTGGTGGTTCAATTTTAGCATCATTATCAACATTTCAACAAATGTGGATTTCAAAACAAGAATATGATGAATCAGGTCCATCAATTGTTCATCGTAAATGCTTTTAAA